ATGCGGATTCGATTTGGATATCGTCTTCCTTCGAAATTATAAGTTAAATACTTTTGTATCTTAGGCTGTTAAAAAATACACTCACCATAATTTTCGAAATTATAAGTTAAATACTTTTGTATCTTTGGCCGTTAAAAAATACACTCACCATAATTTAGAAGAAAGACGATATATAGCTCGCTTTTGGATCCCGAGTTTCCAACCTTCTCTTATTTCTTACTGGTGGGGAAAAAAATCCTTAAAACGGGCTAAATTCAAAAAATAACCACGCAGAGCGAAAGAAGTGCTATTTCTCAATGATAGGGTAAAATTTCGAGGCTTTATTTCACGTTTTGATGATTTTATTGAAACTTTTGATGATTCCCCATACATTTCCTTATAACAGGACACCACAGAAACCAAGCTTGGGCTACCTGTGATTTTACTTGCCAAGCTTGAAATGCAATATTTTTACATGCAAATAATGTCATAATGTCGTTAATTAAAGAATGCAGAAACAAAGTTTGAAAAAAATCCATATTCGTTTGGCCTTTCGCTGATTGCATTTACATTTCCAACGTTCAAATGAAGCATGCAACATGCAAAAAAAGCCGTCACCAAATTTTTTTGGAATGGCTGAATTTTATTTAAGGTTTCTTTGTATATGGGTGTCATTAAATATTCAGTGTATTTTAATTAGAAATCTGAAGTCAAGCATAATATTTGTATGGCAATAATAAAGTTATACCACATGGTCTTCTTACGTAACAGCGTTTTTTTGTTTTTGATCTATCTTACACCATGGTTTTCTGATGAATTATATACTTCTACACATTTGATAATGTACAATATTCGCGTCCTATGGGTGGATTGAGGAATGGRTGGTTTCTTTTAGTGATCGTGATGGAAGCATTTTTCTTTTTTAAATAAAATAGGCAATAAAGGAAATTGTTGGCAGGAGTACGTCAAGACGCTCAGATCATCAAGGAGATCAAGCCGATTACCATGGTGTAGGAGAGACGGCACATACAACCCAATGCAATGTCATGGTTCTTTCTRCTACTGTGTGACTAAAGATGGTTCTGAAATTTCCGGTAGTAAGCTGAGTGTGGTGGTGGGCAAGCCAAACTGTACCTCTAAAGGTACCACTTTAAATACTACATATATAAAAAACACTTCAAGCCTGCACATGTTATTCAGGGCATGGCTAACACACAGATTGAACCCCGAAGCAACCTCTGGGCTGATGGAGGTATGGGCGTGACTAACTCACAGATCAAGCCCTGAAACAACCACTGGGCTGATCTAAGTCAGGGCATGGCTAACTCACAGATTGAACCCTGAAACAACCTCTGGGCTGATCTAAGTCAGGGCATGACTAACTCACAGATTGAACCCTGAAACAACCTCTGGGCTGATCTAAGTCAGGGCATGGCTAACTCACAGATTAAACCCTGAAACAACCTCTGGGCTGATCTAAGTCAGGGCATGGCTAACTCACAGATCAAGCCCTGAAACAACCTCTGGGCTGATCTAAGTCATGGCACGACTAACTTACAGATCGAATTAGAATTTAGCGTGTTGGGGTTTAAAGACAAACCTTGATTCCCATCAATGCAAAATGACATACCAACAAAATACTACCAAAATATTACAAACAGCAACGATTTTTCAACAGCAATTTCTGTTCCATCACCAGGTGAAAGTGTAACTCTGTGTCAGCGGCAGTACCATGGAGCCATGCTCTCTGGGTTCACGGGTGGTCACGTGCCAAGATGTAAGCGAGATGGTCGGTATGAAGAGGTACAGTGTCAATCAGGTACATCAGTGTGTTGGTGCGTCGACGTGAAAGGCAAAGAGCTACCTGGGACAAGGACAGCTAATGCTATAAAGTGCCCTGTCATAGGTATGGAATGTTATTTAACGTGCGACTCACTATCTAGCTTCTGATTGGCTGAGAATGTTAAGCCAATCCCGATTGTACTTGACATGTTAAATGTAAATATATTCGATTTGCAATCAGGATTCATAATCAATAATATTTGTTTCATTTGATGTAATCAAGATTAGCTGTTACGTCATCGCGGCCATGTTGATGTTATTTTTGAAAAGATTCATCTTTAGCTTCCATTTGTAAATACCTCCTACATGGTTTTTTTGACTTTCCTGGAAATGGTGCATACCATCAATTGGCTTCTTTAAACATACCAATCCCTCCTTGTCCCTCTATCAGTGCTTCCCTTTTAATGCAAATATATAAATCTACTACGTAGAACGGAGAGAGATAACGAAACATATGAGATCGCGGGACATCTCGCCTCCGCTAAAATTACYTGGTTTCAACCAGCTGAAAATAGTCTTTGAATCTCTCTGCTTTAAATAGTTAGTTGGAAAAACGGACCATCCTGTGCTGTCAGCCAGAAAGAATTTAATTAAAAACTTGTGTTTCAGCTGATGAACATTCTGCACGATATAGGAAATGACTTCTAGTGATCATGACATAAAGGCGCGTCACATAGCTTTGATCTCTTCTAACTCTTGCGGCTATGGTTTAGGTGGGCCATTGACTACATGTCAGCGCATGTACCTGGATTATGCTCGTAAACCGTCAAAGAATYGCATGACACCAAGATGCACACCCGAAGGAGAGTTTGAGTCTGTTCAGTGTCAAGCGCTGTTTTGCTTTTGTGTCGATAAAGATGGTAAAGAAATACCAGGAACACGTTTGAATAACACTATTGGGAGGCCAATGTGCAATATAAAAGGTAGGATAAGTAGCTTGTTCTTGATGGGATCAAACGCCACGCCACGCCACCAAATAATAAGGCCTTTATTCTGCCATTCTTTTTATTTTTAAAGAAAACAATTTCCTGAGCTCATGTCAACGAGAAGCAAAAGACATCGAAACACATCCCAGTATGAAAAACCAACACAAACCACGCTGCAATGCAAACGGTAGCTACGAAGAAGTGCAATGTGATCCAAGGACAGGTCAATGCTGGTGTGTTGATCGACTTGGACGTGAGCTGACGGGTACCAGAACAAGTGGATATGTTAAATGCCCTTCTGCAGGTAAGGGCGTGGATGTGTAAGATTCTTTCCTTTTGAACTCCTAGTTGAAAATATTACTAAGTACCTTTCCTAAGTACCATTCCTTTGAAAAGAAAAAAAAAAACCGAAATATAGAACGGTTGTTTTGTTTCACAATTATTTCAGGTCATTCTTTAACTCCCTGTCAAAAAGAATACCAAAATATCCTTCGACGGTCCCTGTTACCCCACATGGTACCACAGTGTACATCAGAGGGTCGTTACGAGCCCGTTCAGTGCAGTGAAAACTACTGCTTCTGTGTCAATGCTTATGGAGTCGAAATCGCTTACTCGAGAGCACCGAAGAACGAGGAAACACCTGTTTGCCAGCCAGTAGGTTAGTAACTTAGACTTTGGAGAAGAAACGTCCGCGAGTGCGTTTCAGCACGTTTTCCGCGGTCACACGGAGCAATTTTCTCGGCAACTTGTCTCGCAAGAGCGTTGCGACACAAGTCGCAAGAGTGTCTACARGGTGCAACGGAGACACAATCGCTGTCAAAAGTAGAAACAAATTCCGCTTTTTTCAACAATTGCTGTATCTTGTCTCGCATTTAAAAAAAAATTGCGCTGTAGATTACACGCTGCAATGCGGCTCCATGCAACTCGTGTCGCAATGTCATTGCGAGACAAGTTGCAGAGAAAATTGCTAGTTGCAAATCAATGGCTCTATTTCACTATGACGTCACATCAAAACAATCTATTGTTTAGACGCAAAGGATCATGGTCGTCGGAGGGGGTCAAATCAACGCAAATTCACCGAAAATTGTTATAAAACCCGTATCAATCCACGAAGAGAAGTAGAATAGCCAGCAAATGCTCAGAATATTTTTAGTACTCATTAACACATATTATATCTGAAAACCAGGGCATTTTAGATTAAACTGTTTCGCTAGGAGCAAATTTTGTGGAATTTTCTATTGAATTTGGCGATTCTACCCCCCACATAAACAAGCGGTGACGTCATAGTGAAATAGGGCAATTGCTCCCGCGATTAATAGTAATCAATTTTGATTMTTTTAATTTTCTTTTCTTTTAGACATAGGTCCAACTCTCTGCCAGAAACAGCTTCAAATTTACATGCGAGCAGACGACCACCGTCAACTCGAACCCAGCTGTAACCCAGACGGCTCATTCCGTGATATTCAGTGTTATGGCGCTGAATGTTACTGTGTTGATAGCAGAGGTGTGGAAATACAAGGGACGAGAAAGAACTTTATTGATGGAAGACCAATCTGCGAGAAAAAATGTAAGTGTTGACATATGTTTGCTTGGTAATGTGATAAAAGTGATGAAAAAAATATCAGACTAATAAACACAGACAATGTTTTATTTAGTACTTATTTGACAATTCGCCACGTAGAACAGGTGATACAGCAACATCGGTCACGAATAATATTCAAGCATATTAATTCTCATATTAACCCCAAGAGGAAAAGTTCCTCTTCCTGTTTTCTTGGTCTTCTTTTGCTCTTCTTCGTTTTGTTAATTTTTCTTCTTTTATTTTCTCCTTTTTCTTCTTATTTTCTT